GCAAAAACTTGAATTTCCTTTTTTGGTTTGTTCATTTATTCTAACTTGTTTTTTTTCTTTTTTTCTATTTGGCTGAAGTCTTACTGTAGTGATTAAGTTCATGACATGTGTCAGCCAATACTGGCTTGTTGCTTTCTTAACTTATTTTTATCACTGGTACCGTTCATTTATAATAGTTCCCTCTACAAAATTTTTAATTGATTGGGCCTTCTAAAAAAAAGTTACCTTCTCAAAATTTTTATGGATTGGAGTGAAGGGTGTCAGAGCTCAATCTGCATTCACACTTGTCTTCTACTAATAAAGGTTTACCCTGTGCCTGAAGTGCTACCAGTGAGTGGGGTGTATGCCGTATGCAGCTTCCCCTTATATTTCTATGAAGAAGCTGTTCCACACTTCGAACCCATGGGCCATGGCCTATAAGTTTCCAAAGGAGCAACTTTATGGTTATGCAAAGGCTCTCCCTCCAGACTTGTCTCCACTAGAAAGGGAAAAACTTCTCAAAGTGTATAGTGTCATTCTCTCTTGAGCAAGATTTGCATTATCGGGAAGTGTACTTATCGTCTGTTTAGAGTTTGGTAAACTGGATTCTATTTTTTCTTTTCTGGTGAAAACTTTCACAGGTTCCACTCCTTTACTTTTCTTTCGTCACAGTATGACTAATGATAATCGGAATGAACTTGATTTACATCTTGTATATGTACAATGCTTAGAGAAAGAGGCAGCAAGATGACACAGTGAGGTTTCTGAGAGAAAGTTTCAGGAATAAAGGAAGAGAAAAAGTTGTACTTAGATAATTTTTTGTATAAATTTGCCACTTGCATCAAGAGAGTGAGGAAGTTAGTCAAAAGGTAAAAGGGCAGCCCGGTGCACAAGGCATCCTGCGTTCACACAGGGTCCGGGAAGGGCCGCACCCCAAGGCATGTGATTTAGACAGCCTACCCTAATGCAAACATTAGTGGCTGTTCCAGCCTTCCACGGCTCGAACCCGTGACCTATTGGTCACACGGAGACAATTACGGGGATACCTTTTTTATCCCCTTAATTTTACTGGATTGCAGCTTTTCCATTAATTAAGCTCCTTAATTTGATTCTGCTACAAGCCCCTAGGAGATATTCTGCAATAGAGAGGTCTATTGAACAGAAAACCTTTTTCTCCTTATGGCCGCTCCTTCCAACCAAAAGAAAGAAAAATAAGAAAGACTACCTGCTTTGTAGTTTCACATGCATTATTTCCTTCATAGAATGGCAGCCAGTATCCGCGGACACCAAAACAATTATTGACATCACAAATCGACTGCCACATCTGTGATGGAATCCCAACTATCATCATTTTGTGGTTGTCTCTATAGTAAATGCCACTAAATCTTTCAATATGTTATTAAGTCTGCTTCTTCCCTTCTCGCCTTCCCCTAACAGGACCAAAAAGCATCATTAAAATATTGATGCAAAGTGCAGTGGAGCAGAAATTTTCAGACATCAACCTCACTACCACAATCTAATTTACTTATACATGTTTGCAACACATTGCTCATTAAACTATGATGTACGCCTTTTCTTGATTGGTTCTGTCTGCTAGTCTCTCCCCCATTGTTCCAATGAAGTAATACACTTCATTTTAATCATTTTGCGCTCCATGTTGACCTATTAAATTAGAGAGAGTTAACCACGGGCAGACTATAGCCCTCCTTACACTACACAAAGTGCTTATCTTCTGGTTGGTTGTTGTTCTCCATTATATTTTCTCGGCCACATGTGTTGATTAAAAGAAATAGAAGTAGCTCTTTACTCGGTACCCATGCTGGTGGGAGGTAGCCGGTACTGAATCGAATAGTCGAGGTGCGTGTAAGTTGGCCCAAATACCACCTTTCTTGAAAAAATGAAAAAGAAATGGAAGTGGCTTTTTATGGTCTTGTTGAAGCAACCAATTTCAAAATTGTAGGATATTTGGTAAGAGTAAGGTCTGCGTACATATTACCTTCCCAAGACCCCATCTGTGGGATTATACTGGGTTTGTTGTTTGTTTGGAATATTGCCACTTGTTTTTTGAATACTAATCAGTACAACCCAACCAACCTTAACATCTCTCAAGTGCACCCTTTGGATGACAGCATAAATGAAAATTTATGGAACCCTGATTTTCTTATAAAATCAGTAGATCCATAGACGGAGCCCCTTGTTGGCAGGAATAAGCAGTAACTATAGTTTGTTTCCTTCTCACAACTATCATTGGTTTTAAGGTAAGATTGTACTGTTATAAAGTGGATACAGCTGAAAACCTGTTAGTGCCAGTGTGCATTCATTTTAGTATTATGTAGGCTACGTTATGTATATTTTACTATATTTGGCCTTGTATAGTGTATGCTCGTATTGGTGATGCATTGTTACAGCAGTTTTACATTGAAACCGTGTCTCAGTCAGACATATCTGAGTTTCATTTACTAGCTGTGTGCCTGAATTATTATTTTTCTCCTGCTGCAGTATTAGTTGCAGTCCATACAATCTGAGCGATGAACCACTGTTCGTCTCCATGCAATCAATAAGCTTGCAGCGTTGAAAAAATCTGAGGAGAATGGCGTGGTGCAATCAGTTTTGGTATTACCTTAAAGAGGAAAAGTGTAATTATGTCCAGGACATTGCAAAGGCGGTGCTGGTATCTCAACATACTTGTACTAATACCTTAACCTCTTTCCTGGCTCCTCAGCTGGGGTGCCATTAGCGGAGGCCAAATCTTTTTGTATTATGATATGAATGTTGTGGATTGCAGGTGGTGTTGATTCAGTACTGCATCCACAAAAATGAAAGAGCTTAGTTGTATTTGACTTGCTAAATCATGTATATTTTTGTATTGTCCATTGATTCTGTATGTTTCTACAATGTGCCTTTTTTTTCCTTTCCCTTTATGGGTTTAAACTTCTTACCATTCTCATACCAATTGTGCATATTGCTCACGTCCAAGCAAATTAAACACATTAATGCACTTGTATATTGTTTCTTTATTCATATTTGTGGAGGAGGGGGGTTTTGGGGGGGTGGTGGTGGTGGTGGTAAACTTGATTGTGCTTGTGCGCAGGTGGCCTGATAAATATATTCGGCCAAATACATATACCACCCATTCAACTTGATTCCGTTTTTCATTTTGGCACTCTATCTCAACCTTGTTCCATTTTGGCCCTCCAACTCTATTTCTTATGCTTCATTTTAACACAAAAACTGAAACCATTGCAAAAAAATATAGCGCGTGTGTATACACAAATCTGAGGTGTAATAAATATCCAATTAAATGTTGCTCATCCTTGTCAAACGGGTCAATACTAAAATGCCCGACCCGGATTTCTTAGTATCCATGATGCTTTCAGTTCAACTTGACATCCACAAGAACAAATATCCATGAAAAAATAATGTTCTTTGAGATATGGATTCACTTCAAACTTGAAGCTTATATGAAATAAAGGATGGAAAAACCAGGTGTCAACATTTAATTGGATATTTATTAAACCTCAAGTTTGTGTATACACATGCGCTATATTTTTTTGTATTGGTTTCAGCTTTTGTGTTAAAATGAAGTATAAGAAATAGAGTTGGAGGGCCAAAATGGAATAAGGTTGAGATAGAGTGCCAAAATAAAAAACGGAGTGAAGTTGAATGGGCTGTATTGTATATGTATTTGGCCAATATATTCGTTTTCAACATATTCCTGATGTCAATGTCGTATGCAAAACTGAACATAATATTATTCTTGGGTGGATATGAATAGAGTTGCTCCTGGGTCCCTAATATCTTTAATGGAATGTCTTGCGACAAATTTGGACTCTCACATTCAGTGTACGATTTCATTCCACAACGCTTCTTTTCTTTTTCTTTTAGATATTTTTGCAGAGTATACTCGAATGATAAAAATACAAGCATTAGCAACTAGCAGGTAAGTACACAAGGGGTCATTAGCAAAAAAAAAAAAAAAAAAAAAAAAAAAAAAAAAAAAAAAAAAAAAAAAAAATTAAGATTTAGCAAGTAGAAAAAGTAGTAGTCGTAAGTACACTATGGGATCGTTTGGTAGGATGTTTAGAGAACATAATACATGTATTAGTTTTGGTATTATTAATCCCCTATTTGATAGTGTTTTTTGACCTATATATAACTGATACTTGTATGAGTTATACACCATATTCAAGACTATTTTTATACATAACAAATCATGGCATTAGTAATACCATAATTTTTAATACATGGATAAGCATGTGTAAAGAAAGAACCGCCTTTCAAAACCTTTTCCAAATTCTTTTTAAAGAATGTTGAGGACATTTTTGTAAGCAAATACTCCCTCTGTTCCAATTTATGTATCATACTTTCCTCTTTAGTCTTGCCAAATAGAATGCCATACTTCTTTATTAAGAAATAATTTAACTTCAAACTTCCTACTTTACCCTTAGTGAGATAATTTATAACCATACAAATATTTATGGTTTATTCTAGGCCACATGTTTCAAAAGTTTTCCTTTCTTTCTTAAACTCCATGTCGAATCAAACACCGTCATATAAATTGGGATTAGTTATGCTGGGTTATTTCTTATCGGCTGTTTGGTTTGGTGTATTAAAAATAACATGCATTGCATATTTAAAAAAAATGCAATGCATAACTAATCTCAATATTACTAATTACAACATTACTAATACACCATATTTAGTACTATCCCGATACCAGAGACGGATTCAGAATTTGAACTTTATGGATTCAGATTCGCAATTCTACCACATCTCATCTAATTTAATGGGTTCAAAATTTAATCTTTGTACATATTTAATAATGTTTTGGGTAAAAATACAGAATATAAGTGAAAGCTATAGGTTCAGTTGAACCCATAGCTTCAACACTGAATACGCCTCTGCCTGATACACCCTACCAAACGACCCCTAATAATTTTGTCTTGCGCGTTCAATTTGTTAACATTAACCTTTTCGCAAAACTATCATCTCATATTAATTTTTTTTTATCAGAAGCTCTGGAAATGAAAATGATGGTGTATTTTCAACTCGCTGAACAAGAATAACACTTAACTAACTCCAGCTTTCTTGGATGACCAACCAATAAATGAAGAATACAATTTCCCAAATCACCTCTCTCTTAACAACCCCAAACCTCCATTTTTTAACACAATTTGCAATGTATGCTTTTCCCTCTTTGAAGGTTGACATAAAACACAAAAAGGGGAAAAAAAAAATTATATTAATGATAAACAAACGTTATAATCCCTTTGTTTTAGGAGCTCAAAGCTGGAGATTTCCAGTGAGATAGCGATAATAGAGGAAGAAGGCAGCAATCAAGAATGGCACAAAGTACTCAACAAAAACCATATACTTGGGCTGGGAATCCTCTTTGATCACAAAAGCTTTCATTTCTTTGGCCTTTGTTTCTTTCAAAGAATCAGTAACTAAGTTGAGATCAAGCTCAGACTCATCTGGAATTTTGTAGCCTTGAATATATCCAACTTGGTATTTTAAGAGCAAGTTTTTGGCAGCTTTACTATGCCCAATATCTTCAAACTCTTTAGTTGCATCCTTTCCAGCTGATTCAATCAACACTTCTTCTCCTCCAGGATGTTCCTCCAAAAACTTTGTCACATCTAATACCTGAAGAAAACATAGCATATATGTACATTAACCATGTATCTATATTGTCATGCATGTATAAATATGGGAGTAGGGATGCGGCGAATCTAGGACGTGTTCTGTGGGGGTTTAACTAAACCTGTTGCTTTCAGTGTGAACTATGTATGTATATGCGAAAAACATATAAATGTGTACATATAATAAGATTACACTTATTTTGAACCCACTGACTCTAGATTCTAGATTCGTCTGTAGATAAGGGGGTCGGGAAGTGGGGGAGGGGGAGGTAATAGTACTCTGCCATTGATGAGGATCCAGCAATCTTGCTTTGACTTGTGTTGTGTGATTTGGGATAGAGTAAAGACTCTTTCTTTGTCCATTTTCTTTGGAATGAAAGCTGAGGTTCATGAGGTTAAATAAATATTTTAGTATTTATAGTGACATCTGGGGATTTATTAGTCTACAAGGAAAAGAGAGTGAAGAAAGGTAGGTAGGTTTCTTCCCATGTGATGATTATCTATCATTTTGTTTCTTCTCCACAACTGGAGACGAGTTGGTGGGTTTAATAAAATTCCTTCTATTTATTTTCATTAAGAGTAATAAAGTAAAAAATTATCTTCTTACCTCCCCCCCCCCCCCCCCAAAAAAACCAACCCAAAAATAAGAGAGGAGAAGGTGTGGTGCAAAATGACATACTTTTTGATTAAATGATTTGAGTTATATTCATGAATGGTATAAATTTGTTTCCACTATAGTGATGTCAACTTCTCATTGTTTCTTAGCCGAAAATCTATTGAAAACAATCCTCTACCTTCACAAGGGAGGGGTAAAGTATGCGTACACATTACCCTCCCCAGACCCCACTTGTGGAATTACAATGGGTTTATTGTTGTTGTGGTATAGTGATATCAACTATGTACTTTCTCAAGCAACACAAGCAAACAAATTTTACACACGGAAGAAAAAAGTGATGTCAAATGGTACTAGTCACTCTATATATGGAATTGATGGTACAATACAACAACTTTGACCAATTTAGAAATAGGACAATCAGTGCAGCAACAGAAAATGTGTAACAATATTTACTGAGAAGCTTGAGCTTTTCGAGTGCCTTTGAAAAGATCTTTTGCATCTCTTTCTTCATTGTGCTCTTTAGTAACAAAATCCATGCCGTCAAATGTAACTCTTGAATTCCTGTACTGGCTACCAAAGGCAGTGCCAAATCCCCATCCAAGGCCTACTCCAATCCCACAGCCGCCACCTATAAGTAATAATTGTGAAACATGTCATCAAGAATTCTGGCGCACAGATTTATTTCCACAAAAAAACATGGTTTTGATTTAGTTTTTACCTACACCAAGACCCAAGAAATTCAAAGGCATGCCTGAGGAAAGATTAAACATTCGGTTAGGTAATGCTATAGAGAAGAGTATTTTGCAAAAAGAAAGAGGATTGATAATAAAAACGAATGAACAAATTACGCGCAGAGTAAGCAAATAAGATCTTTTCATAGATAAGTGAATGAAGAACAGTGCATAATCTTTTCTTTTTCTCTTGGGAAAAGAGGGGGACAGAAGCTCGGATGTTTGGACAGAGATATGTCTGAAAACTTAGAAACAACGGCCTTCCTAACCTACTAGATAGGCAAAGATATTCTCCTATTGTTTTCTCTCTAGAAACATGGGGATAATCTATTTCATAAAGTAACGATATATTACTTGATAAGTTTATCATTTTCCATGTGAACAATCAGACACAAGGGAACAAGGAAAAAGAAACTGAGAAATGTGAATAGAGAGATGTAAAAGTATGATTTTAAGCAGAACAGGATCCTTGTGAAAAAGTAATATGTGCTGAGACGTAAAAAATATTCAGAGATTTCCTCCAGTTCTTGGGAAGTCCTGAATAACCAAGCTGGGAGTAAGAATCCTGAATGGTGCCGATGTGGCACAGCCAATCTCCGAAACAAGAAGACAAAGGTTGCACCAGCAAATTGCGCCAGATCATGCCAACTACCAGTCTTCCATGCTCTAGGTCTAGAGTGGCACCAACAGCAAGACTTTGGTATCTCCCACAAAGGCTTGCATCCCAAATCTACCACTTACATGGTGCTAAAATAATAGATAAGTGACATCTTGGTCAACTAACATGTAATTTGTAATGCTAAATTTATCCATGCACTTGAGCTCTAGCGAAAGCAAGGGAAGGTGAGATCATCTATCAGCAAGGGGTACTGGAGATCACATATCTTGGGGGCTTAGAGCAGATGCTTGTCTAGAGCATTTATTCCTTACCTTAACCTCAGCTTAACTGAAAGAGTAGCAGCTTGTAAGTTGGCATAGTTCACAAAAAACATGCTTCAGATGTCTCCTGAGGTCCAGTTATTCCTTAGCTATCACTGTCTTTAATAGGTAAATCTGTAAATTTCCTAACTTACTCAATGCACATTTAATATAGCTACTATCATAAAACAATCCTTGCCCTGGGGATAGAAGCTTTATCATGTTCCCTTCCAAGCAGATGCAAGAAGTACTGATCTTTCCTTTTAGTTTATTCCTCGTAAAAGAGGTTAAAGACAGCAGCCACCTGTTTTTGCACTGTTCTGTTGCTGAACAGCTTCGAGGCTTGTTTTGGAACATGTTTAGGATAAACCGGATGATGCCACTAAGTGTTAAGGAAAGTAAGATCTGAGGAAGACAATTCCAGCAAACATCTGTTGGGTTTTATGGAAAGAAAGGAACCAGATATGCATTGTGGGCGAAGCTAACTGCTCTACATATTCTGAAATAGGTATTTGAGCTTGTTAGCTCTCTGGTGTGACCAGAAAATGCATATGAGGCAGATAGGACAATAGACTTTATTAGCTCAATACATTATAGGTATGTGTCTTTGGAGGGGATACCCCTTTTTTCTAACTACCATCACTATCTTAGCGTCAACTATTCTTACACATAACTTTTATTTACCAATTAATAAGAAACAACACAGCAGCTACTATCCTCAAAAAATTATATGTATTTCCAGCAACAATGACCACATTCTACATTATTAATAAGTGTTCTACAGATTTTCTTGAATATAGGTTCACGGTCTTCTGACATCTGCACTCAACATGTATGAAATTCTACATATAAACTAGAGAAATCGATCACTTGGATGCATGACTAACTAATCACATATTCTCATGTATAGTCCTTCAATCTATGTTCAAAATCTACCAAACTGGTGCCAAAGAATATGGATTAAGTAGCATCCTTTCTGCAATACCACATTTTCATGGCTGACGAGTCATGTAATCCATACGACCACAATTCACAGGCATGTAATAAAGATGAAAACTTTTCCACTCAGCTAATATTGAAAGATACCTGGACAATACCATTGAAATACCATAATTTCATCAGTGTCTCACTACTAATTATAAGAAGTTATTAAAGCAAATTGAGAACAAGAATTTCCCAAAGAATAGCAGTAATATCAAGAACCACTTTAAAAGACACAAAAAACAGCCTGCTCAACCCCACTAAGCTCCTAATACACAACACATATTTCCCTGTTTCTAAGCTGGACCCTTTGATTAGTACTAAGTGAAAATTGTTTTTGCTGATACAAAAACAATAAAACTGTAAGTAAGAAACTGGAAAGAAGCAAACCTCCGAAACCCCATCCTACACCAAAACCGCAACCAATGCCAGCACCTAAACACAATATCCAATTTTTGTTATTTTCTTGCATCAGCACATGAAAGTATACAAAAATAAAGAAAGACAAGAGCTAAACTCAATCGGCGACTGAAAATTTATCTTACCGAAACCCACACCAGTACCATTGAAGTTAGTCATCACCATCGCTACCCGTCGAACGAAGTACCAATCGGTGGAAGATTGGGGAGCAGGGTCACTGTGCGCGTCCGTGTCAGCAGGGTCGGTTTGGGCTTGAAGTGAAGCCCATTAGTGATGAAGTTACAGGGAAAAGCGCACAAATAGCTATTTTATCATATTCTATTTAGGTATTAACCCGTACTTATTTTTTATCCTAAAATTTTAAACTAAAAATCTTTATTTCAGAATATTTTTATCATAAAAAATTAAATTAAAAAATTAAAATTCAGAATGCACTGACTAATTCTTAAATAATAGTTCTTTACAATAGCTACATGGTGTCATTTCTACGAAGTTATTAAAGGCCTAAACTTGTAATTCTCTTTGGTATTTAATCACAATACCAATTGTGATATTTTAGAGAAAATGATAAAAATAAGTTAAAAATAATTTCTTAAATATGCTTTTGAGCACTTTTAATCTTTGAAGTTAATAAAAAAATGAGTACTTTTGATATTTGTCAAATATTTAACAAATTTTATATTAGATTTAACAAGAACGGTAAAAGAAAATTAACTGAAAACACTAAGAAAATCTTGTCAAATCCCAAAAATTTACAGTAAAAAATCGAACAAAATATCAGAAATAGATCAAAAATAGTATTCCAAAAAAAATGCATCAGACACAAAAAATAAATCAATATAGCATAAATGACAAAAGCTATACCTCTAAATATGAGTTCCCATTAATTATTTTTTATAATTTTCGTTAAATCTAACAATCACAATTTTTAAAAAATTTGAAGGGGACAAATAGTCGTTCAAATATATTTGACAGACTATTTTGGATCTAGTCAAAACATAAGGGACCATTTTTGGAATTGGACCTTGATCTTTTCTAAAATACGAAGCCTCAAAGCTGGGCTGCAGCAGTCAAGAACATCAGGAGGCAACGATCGAGCTACCACTCCATGGCTTTCCTCTTCCACAAATTTCAGGAGGTTCTCTCTCTCCAACCCCCCCCCCCCCCAAAAAAAATATGTTTCTACTTTGCTTCTGTATTGTTTCTTCTTCATTTCTTTGCTCTCTCGTTCTTTGTCAATGACCATCTTGAGGTTATTTATAATGTGGGGTTGCTTATTGAATTGACACAATCAATTGAATAAAGTTGAGTTCTTTTTGCTGTGGGACACAATATTCAGGCGGTGAAAATTCTTGCTAAAAGCCCCACATTCGCCAGAGCTAGAGAGGCAAGGCATCTTCAGTTTGAAGCTGACATAAATCTCCTCTTCCTTTATACTAGGTAAGATTTATTTACTTATTGCAAGTGAAAGGCAAAGGGGAGGGGGGGGGGTGTACAATTTGAAAATAGTTGAATTGGCTAGTTGCTATATATTTGTCATTTCAGTGCAATTATATAGTTTTATAAGCATTTCCTTTAAGTAGGCGTTTGGACATGAATTGGTTCTTGGTTTATCATTGTGTTGAAATACTTGAAGTAACTAAATATTTTTAAAAATTGCGGTTTTGAAATCTTTGGTGGTGAATTTAAATGTATCTTTTTTGCATAGTTGTACCCACTGTTGTTTCATGTTGCCATTGTAAACTTTACTTTTCAGTTACAACCGTTTAGGAAGGAATGCTGATGATGCTGATGCAGAGGAGATTATTGATATGGCTAATAAGGCGTCCTTAGCCGATCAACAGAAGCTGGTCCAAGAGAATGTGCATTCTCAAGTTACGAACTTTTGCAGTTATATGGATGACATATTACTCCCTGATCATAAGGTTAAAGACAATCAGGCCACATCACCTACAGCAACAAATTCCTCTCCTGGTGGCAGTGGGCTCGGGGTTGCTGTTGGTGGGGATTCTCCATTACAAAACCACACTGGTAGGAATCACCTGCATTTTCAGCTCAATTCGTGTTATGAAAAGTTTGGATGTTGCCTTGAGCCCTACTTTGGTGTGCATGTCAGCAACCATTTGATCTCCTTTTTCTGCTCTATCTCATTGCTTTACCTTGTTTCATGCTGTCATTAAAATTCTTTGGCTGTATATTTCCAGGATATATCTAGGAATATCGTTAATGCTACTACTTTATCCGGTTCATTCTTATATTAAACACCATTAGCCTTCAACCAGCGTTGACAATATTTTTGTTATTGAGGTAGAAGCTGAAATAAGTTACTTCTGCCTTTTGTCTCGTGTGGCCGGTAATCACTGAGTCACTTGAGATTTCCGATAGAATATTACTAAATTATGTAGAAGTTGATCAAGCTTCTAGAATTTCTTAATTTCTAGTGGATTAGCTCTCCTTTCACAAACACACGGAGGAATATCTAAGCTTAAAGCTGAACTGGTTAATAGGAGCTAATGCCTCAAAAGTGAAACTTTTCTTCTTCATTTATCTTTTCAGGAACTTTTCAGTATGCTCTACTTTGTGCACACCTCCACATGGACTAGGTAGATCAAATCTAACTCTCAGCTTAGAACACCTAGAATACGGCTACTGAGAACTGAACATAAATTGATAAAGGAATGGAGTAATTATTCCAGTTGGAATGTCACTTCAACTGTTTCATTTCATTTTGGGAGGATTGAATTGTCATTATTATTTTCCTTCGAATCATTTATTATAAAACATGATTTGTAATGAAGTTGGTGGACAGTTCTAGTGGTGTAAAAATTTAAGCCTTTGCAACATAGGCAATAACATAAAATCACAGATCATGAGGCTCTATGGTGGTTTTGCATAAATTATATTTCAATCTGTTCTTTGCAGTGGCTTCATAGCTGCATCGCCCTGGATTTTGATTACTAATAATAATTTCAGCACAGCTGTACCCGAAACCAAGGCATTGCAGCACACAGAGGTTTCACAGAGGTTAAAGGATCTTATGGGCTACACTCTCGAGGTCAAACCGTCTCAAATTCCTCATGAGGATGCTGGGAAAGGTTTATTCTTACATGGTGAGGCCAATATCGGTTCTGTCGTAGCATTTTATCCTGGAGTAGTTTACTCTCCAGCGTATTACCGCTATATTCCTGGATACCCTAGAATTGATGCCCAAAATCCACATTTGATCAAACGGTATGATGGGACTGCAATCAATGCACAGCCCTGGGGTAATGGTGGTGAATCTCGTGAAATTTGGGATTGGACTCGTCTTGCCGAATCTAAGCACACTATGCAAGCTGATGCACAAGGTTCTGACGGAGTTGAGAGGATGCTCAGCAAGCCATTGGATGAAACACATGTTGGAGGTAACCGCAAAGTGTTGGAAAGGAGAAACCCTCTTGCCTTTGCTCATTTCGCCAACCATCCAACCAAAGGAATGGTCCCTAATGTAATGGTATGCCCTTATGATTTTCCTCTCCTCGAGAAGGACATGAGACCCTATATACCTAATGTTTCATTTGGGAACGGTGAAGAAACAGACATCAGGAGATTAGGCAGCTTTAGGTTTAAGCCGTGGAAGTCCAGCAATAATGAACCAAATGTCCCTGTACTGAGGACACTTGTTTTTGTGGCTACTAGAGCAATTTGTGATGAAGAGGTTCTGCTGAACTACAGACTGAGCAATTCGGAGCACATAGCATCGTGGTACATTCCAGTAGTAGAAGAAGAGGATTAAAGGAGGTGGAACAAAGATCATTATGATGGATGCATATTGAGTTCTCAAACATAGATAAACAAGCAGGTTTGATTTACCATTGCTCAGGCCAAGACAGAAATGAAGGCATTAATTTTGGTGAGAGTATCTAAACCCCCTTTTAGTTTTCATGCTTTTGAAAGCTTTAACATTTATAGCTGACAAAGGAATTCTGTCAAGAAATTGTCTTGCTGATTCCAGATAGAGTTGAACTTTGCCAGATCACGACGATTGGTTATGTTTTCCCTTAGTTACAGAATAAGGCAGGAGAAGGAATGTGTCTTACTTGAAATTATGCACTTCTGATTGTTGTGATGCTCTTTTTGTGCTTCATTATCCAATTAAGAGTCACGACTTATACTTTGAGACAGTCTGTTGTGAACTTTCGTTGAAGCACGACGTTTTATGTTCGTTTATTTGAAAGACAAATGGTAGATTGGAAAATTTCTACTGCAAGAAAATACTACCTAGTTTTACTTTAAATTGGTCAAGAACTAGTTTTGAATCATGATACACTTGCAAATTACTGGAGTGTTTCTTTTTCCTTTTTCTTGTCGTAAATTTTATACTTTGTAAGACAGAAATGAAGTCAACCTTTCTATTTCTTTTTGTGTATTACTGTGATAGATCAAACAACTATTCTCTGGAAAATTAAATTCCGTTTGCTAATCGTTATAAATAATTTATGCCAACAGATGCAATAATGCTTCTCCTATCATATGATTGATCGATTTTTCTTTTTCAAAAAACTTCTTTTGAAATTGGTCTTTTGAGACTTAGCATAAAACAATTTCTCGTCTATTGGTGGCTTCAAAAACCAAACAACACCAAAATTAATTAGTATTAAATTTGTCGTCACTGATTAAATATGGAATGCCAGGTGTAAGCATTATCAAAACAATGAGAGACCAGAATGGACCACAATTTCTTCCAAGTAATGTTATTTATTCCAGTACTCGTTTGCGAGTTAAATATTACAATTTATTGCATCTTTACCACAAATTATGTCAATTATTATTCATACACTCAAAAAGAAGGATTTAAATAATTTGGAAGAGCACAAAAGTCAGACGTTGCGTCTACAATGTTGATATATATATATATATACCACTATCTTCTTGGTGAAAACCTGCCTAACTTAACGTCCAAATAATTAAACTCCACTTTTGACGGAGAATTAAGGTGAAAAGGTAGGTGACATTACCATATTCAATTTGAAAAAGCTAAGCTTGAAATTTACATGTACATGAGTTATAGATATAGGCTTCCAGAAATCGTTCAATTTCCATGAATTTTCAAGAAAGTTGCAACGCGAGGTAGGTTTGTGTGAATAATTTAACTTATATATATATATATTCACTTGTGTGAATAATTTCTTACATTATCGATATAATTTACGTAACTCATTACAGTAGAAAATTTTAAAATTACTAATTCCACTTATTATAGACGGATTCCTTCAGTTATATTTTAAATAACCTAATATTGTAAAAACATTTCTACAAACCATCAGTGATTAAAAGTTAAATCAATAAGAAAAATACTGTTTACCAATGGAAAGTACGTAGAA